CTTGGGTTTGTACATGAAAAGGGCCACTCCGGCCACAATTAGCAACACACACAGGTACTTGGCCTTTGGGTACTTCTTCTTCAAGAGGGTAACTCCAAGGAGCATGACTACAGGGAAGAAACAGCGGAAAATTCGGGTACCCACAGGCATTGATGAGCCCAACACTGTCCTCTTAGGAGACTCCTGGGAGAAAACAATGTCTGAGAAGGAAGGCCTACAGAAGCTAAGAGGAAGGCGCAAGGCTGGCACCTGGATAGAGAGGACTGAGCACCGGGGGGAACAAAGGGTAGAAGGCAGGGAAAAGGCAGAGAACAAAGGTGAAAGATCCAAGAAGGAACAGGGAAAGGGTGGGGACAGTGGATGAGAGAGAGGTTGAGAGAAAGAAACTGACAATCAAAATGGGACTCAACTCTAATGACAATGTAAGCACCCAGGACACCAAAATGACCGGCACAGGAAGCAGACTAGGTTGGTCTCTAGCTTCGGGCCCATGCACATCCAACACCACCGGAAGCGATACAGAGGACAGGATGGCAGGGGGAAGGGATGGAGGGCCGGCTCTGGAGATAGCTGTGATGAGATGACGACCCCGAAGGGATACACAGCTCTAGCAGAGGAGTAGAGAGCCTGCTACAGGAAGAGTGAGGATGGTAGAGGGAGACCATCTGCTTCCGCTTACCTGGGATTGGCTTGCAGGATTTACCAAGGACCTGAAACGAAATCCAGCAAATAGTACCTGAGCCTCTGGGATGTGCCAGGCACTGTGCTAGGTGCTCTGTTAAGAAAAGTAACTGTGGGGCCTGCACCGGAAACCACAGCCTATCATGGCCAACCCACCACCACTAGACCTCAGATCTATGGTTCTTTGCCCTCTGAATTTCTGCAACACATTCTCTTTTGTTTAAGTCACAGACCTGAGCGAAGAATTCTTAGGTCCTTTCAAACAACTTCTGAGCCAACCCTCATCACACCCTGAGATTTCACCTGAGTCGGATAGTTGACAAACTGTAGTGCCGAGTTGCTGGAGACCATGGCACCCAGATAGGAGACAGAACAGGCGGCATAGAGCCAGCTCCGGGTACGATCCACCCTGGCAGTGTCAAAAAACTGGATCACTGGGAAGAGACAAAAAATGTATAAGAGAAACTTGGTGAACTGAACCAAAGTTGAAGCCACATGAAAGGAATGTGTCAAATAAGACGAGATGCGCAAGATATTTCTGTCCTCTTAGACTGGGAAATCTCTGAAGATTATTCAACTCTCCAATCTCACCTACACCTAACACAAGACCACATGCAGAGCAGGAATGGGGGCTCATTCAGTTCAAGGGACTCGTTAGCTCTGCTGTAGCCCCCAGGGAACAAAGAGAGCAGCTCAAAACATGTTTGAAGCGGAAAGATAAAGGAAAATCAAAGGGAAGAAAGAAGAAAAAAATTAAGTATTCTCAGTGGGGATTCGGCACACAGAAGACCCATTCTCTGCACATTTCTGACTCAGAAGTTGGTCTAATGTAAGGAAATAGGGTTGACTGAACAGAAAGGCTTTGAAAACGCTAAAGAGGGTGGGAGTGCTGCCAGTTAAACCTTAAAGGTGGACAGGGAGGGGGCACACAACAGATTACTAGATAGGTACTCACAGATCTTGGCAAACACAGCATTGATCACACACTGAATGAAGACCAAAGTTAAGGCAAAAGTGAACGTCTCCTGCTTGGCTCCCTCCCCATACTTTCCTCTTGTTCTAAGAATGAAATGATGAGAAAAAAAAGGAGAAGAATTAGTGTATTTCACTCAGTGTCATCTAGTATGTGTAGAGTCACCCAAAGCTTTAAAACGATTTTGCTTCTCTGGATGTAGGAACAGTCTGGTAAGGTTCACTGGCCTCATTCACAAAAGGGGCTGATTTTATTGGATCTAGAAGCCAGACATCCCAGCCTGCTGATCCCGTAGCTTAGGGAAAGAATATCCGTAAAGGATGGAGCTAGAGGAAACGTGGAAAATTAGACGGTGAAACGAGGTACCCCAAGCAGCAGATGAAGGGATTTGGGCTACAGCAGCAAGGCCGGGGGCAAAAGAATCCGCTGTCCGCAAACATCTGGAAGTACCAAAGAGGAGCTGGCACAGGCAAGGAAACCTGTGTGTGTAACGGGGTACAACTGCCAGCCTGTAAAGCCCAAGCCCTTAGAACCCTAGGGAGAAAAACAAGAGAAGAAAAATAACCAGGTCCCGAGTATCCGGAGACCAACTTTGGCGTTTGGGAAATCTGAGCAGGCTCAGCCGCGGCTGCAAAGGTGTCGGGGGCTGGGGGCGGGCAGGAAGGAACAGCCGGGCCAGGGGCGGGGGGCCCGCCAACCGGGCCAAGGGGCGAGAGAAGGGGCAGGTCTGTGCTCCGGTCCCGGCGATCCGCTCACATCTTTTCCTGAAGGATCCCATAGTAGAAATAGCAGACAAAGACGCCGAGGAAGCACAGCGGCAGGCGCAGCCGGTCGGGCACCAGGGAGCTGCTAGCGGCCATGAGACGCCCGGACGACCCGACCGGAGACCCGCTCACAGCCGGCAGCGGCAGCGGCGGCGGCGGCGGCGGCGACAGCTCCAGCCGGACATCGCCGACCGGCGACAGGGGCCTCATAGGAGCTGCATGCGACCGCCTCTCAGTAGGCCCCAGCAGCCACCGCCAGAGCTGCCGGCTCAGGGCCTCCGAGAGGGAAAGGCTTCGGGACCCAGAAACCGTTTCCAAGGAAAGGAGACCCGCCCTGGGACCTCGGCTTCGCCCCTGATGGCCGAGGGAGCCACCCGCCCTGACATTAATGCTGTGCCCTGGAGTCTTCCGATCAGGCAACTTCGAGGACAACTGCGACCCAGAGCTCGACGGGATGGCCTAGGCGTTACGCGGGCGCGGAATGATGACGTATAAGGATGTGGAGGTCACCAATTGGCTGCGCTGTGCGAAGACAGACAGGTGAGCTGGAAGGAGGTGCGGCCGGCCGGGTTAATCCCAGTCTCTTCCCCAGTCGGCGGTCAGGCTTCCGCTGGGTCCTAACGCCAGGAAGTCTCAGTGGACCCTCAGCGCCCCCTAGCGGCTGCCCCGCGTCAGCGCCTCCCCTTCTGCAAGAAGAGCGTTCAAGGCTGGCGTTTGAGAGCTGTCCTCCTTCTGAGGGCACATCACTAGGCTTCCAAAGGGGTAACCTACGCGTGTCGCCTACATTCCGAGCGACAGTTTTCCCAGCCTGGAAACTTGGGATAGACAATTAGTAGCAACCACCTTGTCGCCTCTCGACTGTTCTGAGGATTAAATGAGCTGAGGTTTGTGAAAATGTTTCAAAAACTGTAAAGTGTGCTATGCAAGTTTAAGGTATCAGTAGTCATCACACTTTCTCAACTCTGATCTTATTTCCTCACATCCTGGAGGTGGAAATGGAAGCTTACCAAAGTGGATTTTCTCCGGGGTCTTACACCTCACCAGCAATACAACAAACCCTCCTGCTGCCCTCCAGATTCTTTCCCATTCATGACCTCCTTTTTGGGCCCCTCCGTCATCCAAGTGTTGGCCCTCCACCTGCGGGCACCAAGAGCTAGGGCAACACCCCAGGACTTTCCACTATAACCCCCAAACCCCACTTAATCAATGGACTCTGGGCTGCTATCTGGGTAGAGGCTCCTTCTCTGCTTCTGACAGCCCACTTCTTTGGCACAGCCTCAGGCAAAGGAAGGAAACTCAGGGCAGCACCACACCCATCACTCCAGGCCTGACTCACTAAGGCTTTGGGGGTAGGCCAAACATCTTTCAGGGGGAGGGGTAAGAAATAGAAGATAGGGTCTGTCCTCAAGCCCCTGTCTCCTTTACATCAGTGCGGATGGGGCCCCCACATTTGCTCTCCCCCCAGTGGCTTATTCCACTGAATCAGTGTGATTCCAGGGCACCAGACAGTAGCTGGGGTAAGAGACCTGGGTTGCAGTCCCAGCTCTGCCCCTTCACTAGCTGGGACTTCAAACAATTCTCTTGACCTCTGAGTCAAACTAGTTTCCTCATCTGAAATTAATGCAAAAATAGTAACAAGTGGGAGAGCGCTGTGGTTAGAAGCAGGGGCACTGGATTCAAGGGATCTGCTTCCCCATCTTAGCTCCCCCACTTCCTATCTGTGTCTTGGGGGTAACGTTATACAATCTTTCTGTCCTCTTATCAGTACAGTGGGGTTTATCACATTTCTCTCATTGGGTTGTTGTGATATTTCGGTAACATTTTATGTCAAGCACTAACAGGGTATCTGATGCTTACGGGGCCAATGAATGGTAGTTGGGATAGCCTGCCTTAAGAGTTTGTCTCGAGGTCTTCTGACATAGATACAATTGTAGTTATTATGACTGCCCTTGGGGTAGTCAACTTTTCACCCATACAGTGGGGATAATATGTCGTGAAAAAGTTTGTAAAGCGTAAAGCACCATCAGAATGTTGAGATGATTATTCCCATTTCTCCCCAAAGCCTCTGAGCTCTTACAGGTGCAGCACTATAAAACTGAGAGGCTGCAAACCCCTCTGTGTTGTGGGTACTCACGAGATGGAAAGAATACTCCAGCAGAGCTAAAGCTTCCCTAAAACTGTGCCAAGAGATTCAACCCGATGACCGTTCCCTGGTCCTGTTCCCCTTGCCGGTGCACACCACAATGTCAAACTTGGCCACCCTCACTTCCCCTCTGAAACCCACTCTCCCTAGGGAGCTTTTCCAGACTCATCCAAGAATAAATGACTTGCCCCACTGACTTCTTCACCCCACCTTCCACCACCCCCTTCATTCTGGACAGCCTTTCCGTGGACCCTACTTCTTAGATGTCCATCTAAAGAATCCAAGCCTGGTGACCTGAGGACAGGGACTCTGTGCATCCACGTTAACACCCACATCCACATCATTATGTGTTAAGTAGAGACCCCTCTTGAAGACAAGGATGATCAATATCACACGCTCAATCCCCTCCCCGCAAAAAATGTTTAACAGAACCTCAAGCTGCTGGGAATACTTATTTATTTGGTCTATTAACACCAAGATCTGCAAAAAACAACTTCTAAACACAGGATAAGAAAACTTGAACATTAACATTCTTCTTCAATTTTGTGTAAGCTCTGCAGTACGGAAAATATACAAACTTCAAACAGCTGCAAAAATAGTGTCTTTGGGAGAAAATAGAGTTTCTACATCGATACAAGAAAAATAGGCATTTTTCTACTCCAACCCAGTCCCGGGGCAGGCGGAGGGCGTAGAGTCGCCGCTTGCCACCTGGAGGAATACCAGCTCTCCCTCTCCCCCGCCACCCACCTGGGGCTGGGCAAGCTGGGCTGCTTCAGACAATCTTAGGGTGAAAGCGAGATGAAAATGCCACTTGGGAAAACGCTTGGTTCCCCCCTCTGCCAGCAGCTGGATTGGTCAAGCGTTAGGGCCCTTTAGGGCTGCTTTGGTCAGCTCCTCCAATGAGAGGGAGGCACGGGGATGGGCGCTGAGAGGATGGGGCTATCTATCTTCGGGTCTCCTCTTCCATGGCTGTGGAGGAGAGGGAAGGAAATCTGCAGTGTCCCCTCTCCTTCCATCATGGCCAGCTTGCTCCATGACAAGGTCAAGAGCCCCACAGACAGTCCTTTGGACTCACACCCAGGGGTGGGGGACCCAAGACCTTCGGGTGAGTTTTCCACCAAGTGAGAGAGGCGGCAAGAACACAGATGTGACTTGTGAGCTGCCCAGCTGCTAGTGGAGAAGGCAGGTCCCCTCACATTCGGAGGGGCTGGTGTCCCTCAGAAAGGGACCCGGGGCTTTGACACAATAAATGAAAGTGCTCGAAGGCCGAGAGGGAAGGGCTCCTTCATCCCCCACCTCAGGGGAGCTAGGGAGGGGCCTGCCACCAAGGCACTGGTCTCCATGGTGAAGTGGTGGGGTTGGGGCCCTCAGACCACCAGGGAACTCTGGAAAAGCACGGGCTCTTCTGATGGCGGGGTGCGCTGCCATGGCTCGAACGGCAGCGAGGAGGCTTTGGAGGCCTCTGGATCCTTCCGAGGCGGTGGCCTGGGGCTGGCAGGGGGAAGGGGGGACCCCGGACTTGAGGGGCAGTTACGGAAAATGAAGCCCATGCTGGGGAAGAGGGGCTTCATCAAGCTGACGGGGCAGAAGGCCGAGCCGGTCGGGTTGAAATGGACTTTGTTCTTGTCAGGACAGGAAGTCAGGAAAGCCAGGTCAGGGCCTGGGGACCTGGAGAATGGAGAGAGAAACACACACACACACACACACACACACACACACACAAGGGGAGAAACAGCCAGTGAGAACTGACAGGAGATGTCATGGCATCAGGGGAGCAGGGGAGCTGGGTCTCTGTTCAAACAGGGTGGTAACTCAACCAAAAAACTACAGGCTGCTGAGCAACACCCAGTCTTTAGGCCCGCAGCAATCCATTTATTAGGAATATGGCTGAACAACAGGAAATCTACTTCAGCTAGAAACAGGAGGGATTGAAGCTAGACAGGAAGGAGAACTTCCTGACGAGGTGACTTTAGAAGAGGAGACCAAGGGATCTTTTAATTTGAGAGAGTTCATCAGTAAACAGTGTTTTGAGGGCAGACCACTTGCCTAAAAGCAGAGACCCAGGCAAAATGATTTTCTAAGACTTTGGACAGCCTAAAGCAGGGTTTCTCAGCATCAGCACTATTGCCATTTTGAGCTGGATAATTCTTGGTTGTGGAGAGCTGTCCTGTGCATTGTAGGATGCTTAAGAGCATCCCTAGCACCTGCCGACTAGATGCCAGGAGCCACCTGTGTCCCCCTTAAGCTGTGACAACTAAAAATGTTTCCTGACATTGCCAGATGTCCCCAGGGCATGGGGAAAGGGGGGGATGTCTCCCATTGAAATCTACTGACCTAAAGAGTCTCATTCTTGAACACATTTGAAAGGTGTGATTTTTCAAAGCCCTTGCTGAGACGCAAGGGTAACAACCATGGCAGGAAGGCAGGCCAACCTTAACAGGAGGTCTCGGCTCTAACTCACCATGTGCTCTTGACCCACCTGCCTCACCTTGAATGTGGAAAGAACCATCCCCACCTTCCTAATCATGTGGAAGAAATGGAAGCATAAAAGGAGTGAGGTCAGGGAGTTCTAGAGTAAGGAATCCTTATGATAAAGAGGAGTGTCTGGCCACTGACAGAGGGGAAGCGGTTGAGAAGCCGCTGGTTGCGAGGGCTCCTGGGGAAAAGGGAAATGTGTGGTATGATGGTGAAGCTCTGTTACCAGTGGATCCCTCGACTGCCTTCCTCTTTATGTATAATATATAGACAGAAAAATGAACTTAGGGTATAGCATGGGAAATTGATGACCATTTTCACTGTAGAATTCTAATAATTCCAAATCCAGGAAGAAGAGCAAGACAGGAGGAGGGCAGGGGTGAGCCCAGAGCGAGAGGTGGAAGAAAGAGGTAAAAACCCATGTGCTGGGTGTATCTGGGAAGGCCTGGGGTCCCAGCAGAGTCCACAGCGGCAAGGTCTCCCCTGACCAAGAAGGGTTTACAAGAATCCCACTTTATGGACTGTGAGGAATGGGCAGGAGAGGGGAATGCTCTCACTGTGTGCATGCCCACGTGGGGAAGGTGACCCAGGAGACCAAGCCCCACTCGAAGGACAAATGGCATGACCCTGAATGGCTTGATTCCCCTCCTGGGAAATCCAGGCCATCTTATAGGATCAGCAGCTAGGAAAAGGAAAATGTGACAGAAGAATTGCTAAACACAAGAACTTCCCAATGGGCAAGCTGATACAAGGAAGAGGCCCCAGTGAGCTGAGAATTTCTCTCCCAGGGCCTCTTGGAGAGCAATCCATAGGTCACCACCTCTTTTTTTTTGAGATCAGGACCTGAGCCGAAATCAAGAGTCGGATGCTTAACCGACTGAGTCACCCAGGGCCCCAAGAGTCACCATCTCTCTCAAAGGATTAACACAGGGACAGGAAGCCTGGGGAGATGGCTTGAAGACCCCGGCTGGCATCGTGAGTCTGTGGAAGAATCAGGATGGGCACAGCCTCATTTCCACAAGCAATCCCAGGCGGTGGCTACTCAAGTATAACGTGGACTGGGGAGAGACCCAAGTCCGCTTAAGCTGCAAGATCTGGTCTTTTTCCTCCATGCCACCCCTGAGGACCCAGGCTTCTTGGAGAGCTACATAGCGAAGCTGGGAGCAAACACCCCCGGGGCCATGGCTTTCTCCCTAACTCCCACTTTGCCTTCTAGCTGTACCCTCTGTCGCTACCATGGACTGTCCCTTACCTGCGACGCGAATGGAGCTCTCAAGGCTCAAACCCTGTCCTAGCTACGTCTCAGCTCACACACCAGGACCAATTCTTCCTAACTGAGAATCTGCCCTTCTGACTATGAAGCTGGTGGGGGGAAGGAAATGAGCTCTTGGGGTGCCTGCTACGGGGGACCGGGTGGGCATTTGGAAAGGTTCGGCCCTCCATCCTCTCTGCTAATGGGAGGGAACCGTGGTAAAGAAGTCAATCAACATCAGAACGGCTTCTGAACTGTCCCACCTGGTTTGGAATATTCCACAGTCCTTCCTTGTACGGACTGGAAATTTCTGTCTGGGAGTTCATGACCCTTGAACCACTAGAGCGACAGGATGAAGACTTGACTCAGAAGCAGGGAGGAAGCTGTTCAGGTCCCCCTGCCACTCCACTGGGGACAAGACACTTCCCATCTCTGCCTGAAGAGAACTACTAACATGTTCTCTCTCTCTCCGATTACCATCTAGCAAACTCACACCTTCCCCAGGGATGGAAAAAAAAATAGAAAAAACAAAGGGCTCGGGTTTCAGATCTCTTCCCTTTCCAGCTCCCACAGCACTTGTGGCTAGCATGTGGGCAGAGAGCAGGTTTCCACAGAGATCACGATAAGCAAAGATTGAAGGGCTCCGAGTAGGTAATGTCAACAAGTCTGATCGTGGAAAAAGTGTGATCCCGATCATCTGAAGTTGACAACGGCCCCAGGCTGAGAGAGCCCAAGATGGAAGAAGGGCCTGTCAGAGAGAACAGTGCAGGGCTCACCCCCATCCCCGGCTCCGCCCCACCCCACCCACCCCGTCCACGGTCCACGGTCCACGGTCCACGGTCCACAGGAGGTACTCACACGGCCTCTTCGAACACACGCACTCTCTCGCAGCCTTCCGGGGGCTCCCGTTTGAAGACGTAGCTGTGATTGGGCCGAGGGGAGGCGGCAAAGGCAAGGACCGGAGACGGGCTGCTGTCTTCAAGGCAGGCTGGGCGGCCCGGAGAGGAGGCTGCAAACAGAGTGAGGCTGAGGCCAGTAGAACTGAAGGAAAGGAGGCTCTCCACTTTCCTGGGCTCAGGCTTCGGTGTAAAGGGGCGAGACTGGGACATGTGGTGAGGGGGTTGGCAGTGCTTATGCTAATCCAGGTTGTTTGTCCATGCTTTATTTACCTTAAAATAGCTTTAAGAAGGCTTACAAAAGTCTATATCTTGTTATACAGGATAAAAAAAATAACAGTTGAGGGGCACCTGGGTGGCTCAGTCGGTTGGGTGACCGACTCTTGATCTCAGCTCAGATCATGATCTCAGGGTTGTGAGACTGAGCCCCACGTTGGGCTCCATGCTGAGCGGGAAGGCTACTCGGGATTCTCTCTCTCCCTCTGCCCCTCTGCCCCTGTGCTCTCTCTCTCAAATAAATAAATAGATCTTTTAAAAAAATACAGTTGAATTGATGGAAAAATCAGGTCTAATAGCAATTCTGTATTCTCAGGAGGTAGACTACAACTGGGACTCCAAGTCTGGCTTAAAGGAATCCTAACTTCCATCTCCCTGCTTTCTTCCAAGACCGCACCGCCCTGCTGCCAACATACCACAGCTTTGTCCTCTCCACAGCCCTGCAAAGCTATCCCTTCTTCCAGGAAGAGCTCTTGTACCAACTCAGAGAAGCAGTCTTTACTCAACCCCACTTGTGGGATAAAATCCTCTCCCTTTCCACACAGTGAATGTACTTTGCCTAGGCTGCAAATATTGACTTTATCTGTATTTATCTCACATTTATTCCTTATTACTCTATGCTCTGTTTACCTCTGTGTAGTGTGAGATTATGCCCTTGACCAGCCTACCTCACAGGGCGCTGTGAGAATCCAACTGGGGGAGGCAGGCCACAGTGCTTTGGGACAGGAGGATCATTATCGTGGGGAGGAAGGGCTTGGGTCTCATCCTCCCATAAAGGAGCCAGGGCACAGGACAAAGTAGAGCTTTGGAGTTGGAAAGCCTGGGTTTCAATCCGGGTCAAACAGCGTGACCCTGGGGCAAGAGACCACATTCGCTTATTGTCTACCTTTCCCAAACACCTTGAGACCTGTTGCTGGTAATGTGTGCAGTGGACCAGCCGGACAGACCCACAGGCTTTCTACTCATTAGCGAAAATAGGAGGATGAGAGGCACTGCTTGCGTGCTTCCCAGTGAGAACAGAAGTGCGGGTGCAGAGACTTTATATAAATTATAAATCAGGATCTGCGCGAAGGACCACTACTACTGCTAGTATCGCATATAGAATAAAGACAACCCATGATATTCTAGTTGGTTAGTAAGGAGGACTCCCAGGCTTGAAACTGATTAGAGGGGGAAAGGGCGTGGAGGCCCCCCTGTACCTCAGGCTGCTGCCCCAGCCCCCCTCAGCTTACCTTTGTCACTGGGGATGGATGCCAGCTCCTCGACAGCACCCCGGTGTTCCTCGTGGCTGGCCGGGCCCGAAGGCTGGGGGGATGTCAGGGGCACGGAGGGAGAGCCGGCAGGGTTGCCGGGCTCCAGGAGGAGGAGAGGGTGGTCACAGCTGCCACTCTGGGGGGGAGCGGGGGCACGGTGCCCATCAGGGATATCAAGGATCTGCCAGGGAAGAGGGTGGGGAAGGAGTCTCAGGCCCCTCTCTTTTAGCCATGAGAGCGGCAGTGACCCTTAAGCTCCTCCCCTCGCCGTTGTTCTGGCCTCTATCCCTGACACACAATGACACCAGGACATGGCTTTCTCAAGTCACTGATTTAAGGGAAAGCCCCTCCTATTTCTCCCCTAGCCCTTGCGACCCAATTTAGAATCACATGTTTATTTGTATGGTTTCATCATGATGACGCCGCCAGCAGGCTGTAAGCCTCGAGGGCGGGGACCTTCTCCGGGAACACAAAGATGAAGAACATTTGGGAAGCATGAGAGGGGGCGAACCACCAGGATACTAACCACGCAAGCCACTGCAGGACAGGCATGCACATCATTATCACGTATGAAATACCCCCTCCCTGCTTCTTAGCCATCAATGGTAGTTGTACCCACAGCTCACCGAACTGCAAGCAGGTGCCTGGGTGGGTATCAAATCCTACATATACATCAATTAAAAATCAACTAGCAAGTAACTCATAAACTGAGGAGTGTGCCCATTAGAATTATATTAATACTGCCCAAGTGGCATTCTCCAATTGTACCGTGTCAGTACAAAAATGTGCCTGAGACGGCAGAAAAGGTAGCAAATAATTCTGCCTGGGAGTGGGGTGGGGGTGGGGGAGGGGGGAGGCTGCACAGGGGCAACTGGGCATGAAGGATGAATGCAGGTCACCAGGTGGACATGGGGGGAGAGGTGGTTACACAGGCGACTGAGGCACGGGAGGGGGACAGTGATGGTGATGGGGATGAGGACGCAGGGAGCAGGGAGCCGGTGCTTTGGCTGAAGAGTGGCGCCGAGCCCCTTCCTCCTGGCTGAGAAGTCTCCCCCCCACTGAGCCCCGCTCCCTCTCTTCCCACCCAGCACCACAAGCCTGTCCCGGCTCCACCGCCCGGCTCTGCTGTCCTGGTGGCCAAGTCCATTTGAATCTAATGAACCCGATTTGTGTTCCTCGTGCAGGGCGGCGTTTGCACCACGCTGCTGACGTGGCCACAGCCCGGAGCCCCCAGAGAGCCAGAGTCCCCCCGGCCTGCACCCACACTCAGCAAGCCGCTGGCTCGTCGTGCATCGAGGGCGCGCCCCACTCACCCGCAGCAGCTCCTCTTCACCCTGTTCCTTCACAAACACCTCCTCCAGCTCTTGGTTGAGCCCTTCCAGGCTCCGGTGCAGGCAGGGGCTGAGTCGCAGGACAGGTGACCCTGAGGGGAAGCTGGGAGGGGACGCCTGAGAAGGAGGCAGATGGAGCGGTCACGGAATCCCCCCTCCCCCAAGCCCCATAGAGTTACTAGTTCTGACCAGGGGGTAATGTCATGTCTACACAGCAGAACCAAGCAAATAAAGGAGGATCTGGGCACGGGGACTGACTGCAATAGGACAGCTCAGTGGGTTTTTCTCCAGAGGTTAGCGCTTTGGGAGTCTAGAGCGTGGTTCTAGCGCTTGCAGGCTCACCACTGCGTCAATTGTAGGGGGGCGCGGGGGTTGAGGGGAGAGCCATTCGCGAGGGCAAAAAGCCCTTCCAGCCTCACTCAGCGACCCCCAGTTTGTGCCCAAACCACCTAGGCAGCCACGTGGCCATGGGGTGGGCAGCGTGGCAGGCTCAGTCAGCGGCTGTAAGACCTGCGAGGACCTGCCCACACGGGGCCGCCACGGGCGACAGCAAGGGGAGCGGGCCCGGGGAGGGGGCGGACACATACATACCCTCAGTGCTCCCCGCACTGCATGGTCCCCTTGCAGGGGGGAGCCCCGCTCCTTCTCTTTCCCGCTGCGGCTTAGCTTTGTCCTCTGCAGCTGTTGCTTCAACTTGGAAATCTGGTAGCCCAGAGATGGGAGGGGGGAGAGGCAGGTGGAACAAAGCTAAAGGGCACGGGGTCCCTCCTCCCCGACGTGGCTCCCACCGGAGGCCCACGATAATGCGTAAAAGGAAGATGGAAAACCTCCCAGGAGACCTCGGTGAGTTCAGAACTGATGACATGCTCATTGGGCCAGCTGGAGACCTTATTAACTAGATATTTGGTGTTTCTGAATTATCATGTATTCTACGGATCAGTTGGAAATATGAATCAGATGGATCAGTTTCCAAAAATTTCAAAATATGCAATGCCGAAACCATTTTTGTCTTTCACGGATTCCAAACCGTGGAACACTACTCTATTAATAGAAATGGGAAATGATGTTTTTGAATTCACTCTTCAAAGTACATTCACAGCTATCTCAAAGGCCCCGGGACCAGGAAGGATGGAAGGATTTCCCCTCATTTTAAAGTAAACTGCACTGAGCAAGGAGCTGATGCTCAAGAAGGAGTATCAGATTTTGTCCTGACTTTCATATCTTGTAACAATTATGCATTATTATCAATGGTTTTGACTATTGTCTCTGTCACATTTGTAATTCTCCACCTACTCGCCCTCAGCTGGCGAAGGCTCAGGAGATGCAGATCTGTTTAAATATGGGCCCCAATGAAATAGGATTCAGAGAGGAGATCTGCCGCCCATAGCCATACAAGTTATGACCACTGCCAAGAAGAAAGTGGTTTTAGATCTGCTATCGGGCACCATTCACACCACGAGTCCACGCTTAGTGTAAATAACTTGCTTACTCTGATCATTCCGAACTTAAAATACTCCATATTTCCCACTAGCTTTTAACTTGTAGAGCATTCCCTTCACATTTTCTCTGTTCTTGCAACCAAGAGAGGCTCGATGTGACTCCCAGCGAGTCGGCCCTCAGGGGCCGCCAGTTGGGAGTGGCAGGTGGAGCTGGTTTAGGAGCCCGGAATCCCCGTCTGTGCTTCTCTCTATTCAACCTCAGTGACTGGAGTCCTCCTGAGAGAGGGGGAGGGCCAGTGAAAAGTGTTTGGGAACACACAACTATTTTTCTCTTCTAAAAATAAGGCTGGATGGGAGGCCTGGGTGGCTCAGTCGGTTAAGCGTCTGCCTTCGGCTCAGGTCATGATCCCAGGGTCCTGGGATCGAGCCCCGCGTCGGGCTCCCTGCTCCGCGGTGAGCCTGCTTCTCCCTCTGCCTGCCGCTTCCCCTGCTTGTGCTCTCTCTCTCTGTC